ATATTAATAAGTTGCAACTTTTAAACATTTTTTAAAAAAGGAAGTTTAAAAAATTATGTTACGCTGGGATTCATTACACAACACATTCTTATTTCCATGATACATGACATTTTCTAGTTGGTAACATCTGTCAAAATATACATAATATGTGTCTTTGTATTTAACAAAGCTAGAATTATAACAATTATTTATAACATCTTTTGAATTCTCTGGTTATTTTTCAAATCTCTTCTAGCGTTCAATGCCTGTAATATTACTCTCGAAAGCAGAAAAAATCCTGTAATTTTATTTGATTACTCGGTTACATAAATACAACCGACAAAAGAAAAGAAATAATCCCGTATTGTAGTCCTTTCTCAGAATTGCGATGTTACGCTTCATTTTAGATAATCCTAAGAAATTGCTTGTCAAGTACACGGGATAATGTTGAACAATTACGTTGAAAAACAATTATTGTAATTGCTTCAAAATGTTTAGATTTAATACAAATATAAACGTCGAAATAGCAAACAATATTTTTTATTAAAATTTATTTTAGATTAAATCTTTTTAAGGAGTCTCGATAACACGAGACTTGTCTACATAACTAATTTGGTCAATCAATGTAAAAATAAAATTATCAGGTTACCGAGTACGTAGTCGTGGGATCGAGGCCATCACGAGTATTAAATTTTTTAATCCAAGATATTTATCAATTATATTATTTAACTGTTGGTTTTTAATTATGATTCTAATAAAACTCATTTGATCGGATTTTGAGGCATCAGAAAAATATTTTCAAATTTAATCTATTTTTAAAATTCTTTCAGAGAGCAGCGACAGAAATTTTTCCAGAAGAAACTTATCCATATTTTGACAACTGTATTCGAGTGTGTGGGTAGAGTGTTATTTCTCTAGCACCATTCGAATTCAGTGCTCGAATGTGGTTGTCCTGCAAAGATTTACTTCGAAAGGCGACTAAGCACACTCTACAAAGAAGGAAATTCGTATAGAATACTGTATTATTTAATATTCATTATTATAGATTTTTTTTGTTTCTTTACTTCAATTTAGTAATTAAAACATACAATAAAGTATTTATTTTTCACGGAGATATTTCAGTTGAGTTGAAGCTTAATTTTATTATTACTTTAACAGTTGAAAACGCGAAATGTATTATGTAGTTACTTTATTTTCAATCTATTTTAGCTACGTTTCGGATACTTTAAAGCTGCGGTCACGGTTAGCTCAAGTGGTGGGTGTCCAATCCAATCCAATGTCAAAATGTCGCGTTTTAAACAGTTAAAGGCGGGTTATTGAAATGTGTACTACTTGCGTAAAGTAGTAGTATATGTTAGAGTGATAAATATGGACTGAAAATAAATTAAACACCTACCGTCGGCAGATACGCGAGTAGTACACATGTTAAAGTGTTTTATTGAAATGAAAATAAGGTACCATTCTAAGAATAAAAATTATATTATTTTACTGTCTGTGTACCTTCAACCAAATAGCGTAAATAAAGAATGTACAGTGTTTTTCCCCTCCTTAATGCACAAACAACAGTCATAATTATAATTGCAAGAATAAGCTAAGTGCAAATACAACCTTCTTGCTTTTAATCTAAGTACAAAAGTGGATTAACCGGTCGCAAGTGTAATAATACTTTAGTGCTTGTGTGTGCAAATGTCCGTGCTAATTCAGCTTACTCCGTGTTTTATTCGTTTGTGAAGTGCAACGCGTAGGCGGAAATAGATGGCGCTACTATCTCGTAGATCTTGGTTTGCGGATTATAACATCTTTACTAATATATAAAGCTGAAGAGTTTGTTTGAATGCGCCGATCTCAGGAACTACTGGTTCGAATTGAAAAATTCTCTTTCTGTTGGTTAAAGCATTTATCAAAGAAGGTTATAGGCTATAACATCGCGCTGAGACTCTTCCTCATTTTTACCCACCTCGGCGGTCACGTCCCGTCGTTCTTGTAAGTTAATCTTAAAAGATAGACCTTTAACGCCTTATCTCTGGGAGTATTGGATCGCCAATACATCCTGAGATGAGCGCGTTTAGGCAAACACACACACTCTTCAGCTTTATATATTAATCTAGATATATAAGTATACTACCACTACTAACTAGCAATTCGTAGCTTATTGTTAATGGTTAGTCATTGAATTCTAAGCTGGAAAAGCAAATCAAATCAAATACTTGCTTGTTAATAACTAAAAATTAGTGCAATAGACACAAATCTGTCTGCTCCGTACTCCATGGATTGGAAACGGGATACTAGCTTCTGGTTGCAAATGTCCAAACAAAACTTAGACTTCAAGCACCTAACAATCAAATTCTAATAGTCCTAATGTCTAAACGAGAAGCCTCATGCTTCTCGGCCTTTCTTGTTCATAAAAATTATTTTTATATCAATTCATTATAGTTGAAGTAGAAGTAGAGTGAAGAAAGTAAGAAGAAGAAGAAGTGCTCCTTTCGTCGATTTTTGTAACTTTTGGTCACCTGTATAAAGTAGTACTTAGACTAATCCTATCAATGTATAATAAGTTTCATAAATAAACAAATATTGTAGTAACCTGTAGTTTACGCGTATAGTGGGTAGTATGAAAAAAATACTTTTAACGGTTTAACACAATAATACATTATTTTCCTTATTTATAATTTATTTTAACTACGGTTCGACGCGGACTTGTCCATCCAAGATGCTTTACAGCAACCGTGGTGCATATAATACGCGTTGCTAACTGCTATAAGTGTTATAAAATAAATGTAGTATTTTATGTTATACTTTTAGATTCCCCTTTCTGCGTCATGATCTGTAAGTTAAAAATAAAAAGTCTCGTTCTATTCTGAGTTTTATTCTTTGACATCTTAATCACTAAATAAAGTGCATAAATAGGAAAACATTATTTACAAATACACCGTATCTTAAACTATATTACATATACAATATTCGGAGTAAAAATTACATTGGAAATAATGGTTTCGTGTTGTGTTTATGAATGTGTGTGTGTGAGAATCATTTACAGTTATGATAAATCGTACTACAGAATATGTTACATAAACTTACAACGCAGGCATTGTATTATTTATTTACCCATACATGTCACTTCTTCCAATGTGTATACCTATAATCGTGTGTAGAAAATTTGATTATATACATACACGACATGTATTTGATAATGGGTAACTAATTATTTTTGAAATATGACCATAGTAATAGGTTTTACGAGTTGATTTAAATAAAACACGTTCGACGGTTTAAAAATGCGAAATTGGCGCTATCTGTTTCGTCGGTCTGGTATTTGGAGCTACAATGAAACAAATAGCGCTAGCGTAGCAGTATTGACTTTGACAGTAGGGACGCCCACCATTTTTAGTCCCCCTGTTGCCATGACTACAGAGCAACGAAAACGCCTTTGTTAAAAATATATGTATTTTAAATAAGTTACGGATATACTTCGCGTTATAAACCGTTAAAAGAGTTTTATTTATTTAATTACACTTTGATGAGCTATTATAATTTTTGTAATTATTTTAGATAGAGAAGCATTTCCATTGGAAGTTTTCAAAGAGCTACAACATGAAAAAATGTGAAAATTCGATGACAATACATTGGGTAAAGCCTAAGTTACTTTCTATATTTTGATCGACTACATCTATACTAGTATCCTAAGCAAAAACATATGCCCATTGGAAGTTAAAAAAATAGTAAGGAACATTTTACAAAAAAATAACATTATACAACATCATTACAACTAATATACTACTACATTCGATGTTTTATTTACAATACTTATTATACTTAAGAATTGTGCAAAGCGCATTACGTTGAGGTAATAATTTACAATGTGTAAATGGTGACTAAAATTGACTATAATATAGCAATCATTTTAAAGATCATAGAAATTACAACTGAATATAGAGAAAAATTACCAGAATTCGCAACTATAAGTCCGCGTCTGTGTCACGATTTAAATGAAACTAACATTTTATTTAAATTATCACACAGTATGTTGTTAGTTTAATCTAAAGATGTATACTAATGATATTATTTGTCAAATGTCGGACTGTATAAAGGAAGTGGTCAAAAATAGTCGGTAATTGATTACCGACAGCTATCTTATTTTGTTTTACCGACGATAACAGTAGCTCAATTGACTTCCGTTGCGACTCTCAAATTGACATAAAACGTAGTCATAAGACCATTGTGCTAATGACAACCTTTAGAGAAACACGCGTTAAGTTTTCAAATGAATAAAAGTGATTTCATGAAAATCGAAGTTTTGACACGAACCACTGTCTACATATGAAGAAGTCGTGAAGTTATTTTTAGGTTTCAGTCTATGGATTTAATTTTATAATACTTAAAGAAGCTTTTCTGTATTCAGTTGTCATTTCTATATCACAAATTAGCAATAAGTTCTAGAACTATAGTTGTTTTCCACGAAAATATATATGTTAATAAAATAATGCAACCCCTACATTCTTTTCCCGATATTTCGATGGTTCAAGGGTAAAGTACTGCTCTTGTTTTATAGAGTACCTCCAAAGTAAGGCAGGACTGTAACAGCAAAGCTTTTGTATGAGATTTGGAACCAATAGTTGTTATAAAGTTGGATTTATACAATTGAACATAACTCCTTAATATTCAATTAGAATATAGTAGTTTGTATTCAAATCACTTTTTCCCTAATAAGTTTTTTAAAGGCTACACTATAAAGTACATTTTTGGGTTTGAAAGTTTAACAGGTACGAAGCTGTAAACCCTGATTAGCAACTAGCGACAATTTTTAATAGAATTAGTTTTGTTACTTCGTCATGAAATGGAATTATAATAGTATTAAATAATTGTAATTAAATCTGTTTTATCTATGTTGTGTAGTTTTTTTTCAGCTTCAGAACCTTATCTGGAAACAATCAGATAATACCAAGTATGAGTTGTCATGGATAACAAACGCCAAGCGTCAAAAACCTTCAATCTAGCAATTTTACAAAGCTCCAGTTGAAATTTTATATGACCACACCGCTCCTGGTAATAATCTTTTGATCTTTCTTCTCCACTTCATGCTTTGACTGTATCTTCTTCCACGTGTCACCCAGAGCTTTACTGAAATGGTCATCGACACCTTTGCTGGACGTTTGGCCTTCTGTGTTCCTTGATGTCTGTAACTGCCGCCAGGTGTCGCCGAGCGCTTTCGCAAAATGGTCGTCTACTGAAAGACTGGGATCGTCTATTTCCATAGCGATAACTTTTGTTGCTTTCGGTTCGTCTGTTTTGAACTGGATCGGACTGCTTGCGCGGTCTTTTGTGTTCGGTTTGGGCCCGGGTTGGACTTCTGCGGTCTTCTTGATGAGATTCATGTAGTTGTCGCCTAGAGAGCGTCGGAAGTGTTCCTCTATGACTGTGTCGCACATAGATAGGGAATCTGTGGAATTATTCGTAGGTGAGAATTTGAGAATGTAACGACATTATATTTTAAGTTCAGAAAGAAAAGTTAAAGTACATATTTTTCATGTTCGCAACAAAATAATTAATTGTAATTATTGTGGTAGTTTTCTAAATAAATAGACAGACTGTACTATTTTTTTAAGAAAGTTGAATCCTCCCCGTGAGCACGGCTGCTGCAAAGCATCCGAAACGTCAGGCCGAAGGTAAAAATCATTTTCAAATAAGTTTAACTAATATATCGCGTTTTAAACCGTTAAAGTGTTTTATTTAAATGTGTACTACTCGCATTAACTCTAGACAGTATTTAAAGTTGAATCCTGTTATTCCAGCTCTGGAGCATGAGGCTTACACTTTTCGGGGACAGTGTCACTGATAACGTTTATGAATTATGTATTAAATTTGTGTGCCCTGCCTGACCGAGATAATTTATAGAGTCCTTGGGATTCAGACATAGAATCTCACATGCTTAACGCACAGTTAACATTGAGATTATGTTGAAAAGAGAGATTATGTTTTTTCTTTCCATAGTATATACATTTTGACGAGAAGTCTTAAGTATTATATATAACATATAAAACAAAGGCTCGTTATCTTCTTGAGAAAGTCTTGGATAAATCTGCTCATTTTACGATACCCATTAATGTGTAATAGGCAGTAAATGTACGTAGTAAAAAATACCACAAACGATCACTTAACCTCGGGTGTTCCTATCGATAAATTTGAGGATAAGTAGCGATTGAGATTTACGACAAGACTAAGTATATAGGAACGTTGTCCTTTAACTTAAATATGTTTACGTTATTTTAATAGAATGAGGCTAGGAGTATCCTGGCCAAATCGGCCTAGTAGTTTAGGCGTACTTTTCTTCTAATTGACAAAAAAACCTCTGATTCCAAATATAGCTACAGAACATTTGAATTACAATAATTGGTAACTGCGCAGCGTGTCTTTAGATCCAGTAAAATGGTGCGGAAAAATTCAACTTTTGAGCTATTAATTTTGTATGACAAATAAATTTTAATTTTAATCGAATTTATTCTTGGTTTTGGAAGTGTTTTATTATAAGCTTAATGCACATTGAATGATAGATCGTCTAGCAGCACTCTGTATATAAATGGGTGTTACATTTATATGGTTCCAACTTTATTAAATATACTTAGAATATATAATTTATATAGTGTGTAACAATAAAACGGGTTGTTTAACATAAAATATATAACAATAAAGGGGCCACAAACACAATATTTAACAGGTCAAGGTCAAAAAGATGCAGAAGATTTTTGAAAACTAGGAATAAGTGTGCCAAACGACCGAGTAATGAGTTGGGAGAGAGAATGACATCGATTCTAGCCCCACGCACGTCATATGTTAAAAATTATTTTTCGTTGTTACCTGGGGGAGGATCACTGCTCTTGATGACACTAGGTCTTGTGTAGGGTGGAGCAGGTCGACATCTTAGCCGCATATCGATGGGTGCTTCTGTCTTTCCGGGATACTCTGGTGGTGCTGGAATTGATTTTAAATAATTAATTATAATCATACTTGCTTAGCATTTGCATGCTAGTAAATATTATGTTCTAGAGAATTAGCGTTACCAAAATCCTAAGCCCAAATAGGTAGACATCTCTAGTCACATTTGTTTAAAATATTGAAAGCTTGTTTGTCTGTTTTTTTTTTTTTTGGTAATTTGTAATGTCTTTACATCTTTTCGAAAGAACAACACGCTATAGTAAAGTTCAGGCAGTAATTCAATACAAAATTGTATCAAATTCGGTAAAGTCACTTGGGGGAGAGCGAGAACCAAACATCCACCTCCCAATCATTTGCGCAGCTGATGTTTTTTTTAAATAGAGGGGGACAGACTTTGGAGTTCACTTGATGTTAGATGAAATACTCCAACCATATAACATCTAAGCAAGATACGCTGTCGTCTTATTATGGTTTTAGATATTTCTTACAAGACTGAGATTTAAGATGCAAATAGTATGATAAATTACCTTTTCCATTGAAAGCAAGGTTAGATGGTGCTTCATCAGCTTCGTCAGAGAACTCGCCATCGCTGTGTCGTTGCGTCCGCGCAATTGTTGGAGCCGATCGCTTCTCGTTGAACGACTGCGACCGAAGCGCCATTTTGCAATTGTCTCTGGAAATGGTATCAATGAATGTAGAGAAAAAGAATTCAGTGAGTTTAAGAACTATTTAGGTACTGATAGAGTTAAATAAAGGAATCATTATTTTGCAATAAAATAATATTATTTATATTTAACTACATTTTATGAATATGTAGGTTTTAGGTTTTTTTTAATTCAGAGCTTTATATATCTTGCATATTATGTTTACCAACTACTAAGAAAAGGAGATATTATTCTAATAATGAATTGTATTAGTGTTTTTCTAATTAGATTTCTTTAATATACATTTTAGAAAGAGTATGTGATATATGTGTATGTATATGTTACATACAACGTATAAATAACATACAATTTATGATAATATTACATAAAAAAAAATATCTTATATCCTATTCAAATTTCTAAGTACTATTACCACGTTTTTAATAAATGGAGTGTATAATTAATAATATAAGTTTAAGGTACTTCAAGCTATTTACCTTGGTCTATATTCTGGTAGCCTCGTGTTGCGTCGTTCTCTACGCCATTTTCCTGTGAGCTCCTTCGGTTGACTCCGGGGTGTTTCCGGGGAGACTGTTCGATCACCTTCCGACTCGCCGCTTGATGCTGTGCTTGGTGTTTCTGTAAGAAATGTCACTGTAAGTATATATTTTTTTTTTATAATATAGAGGAGAACATACAAGTTCACTTGATGGAAGGAGAAATACCCCAGCCATAAAAATGTCTTATAAAAAACGTAACGAAACCATATTTTTATGGTATTTTTCTAAGGCTCTAAACGGCGTCTACGTACGCAGTTAAGAATGGTAAAGGCCGCTTATGTGTAGCTATAAAAATACATATCATTTTTTCTTATATTATATCGTATATTTTTTATTGTTAACAGACTGGATATAATAGTTTATTAATGACTGATTTTAGCAATCTAATTTTCATATTCAGCAAAATAATAAAATTTTCTTAAAAACTGAAAAAGTCAGTTAGAATAAATTACAAAGTTCAATTTCATATAAAAAAGTCATCAATAAATCTCTTCAAGAATCCCGCTTTTTAAATCACATTATCACAACTAACAAACTTTAGCATTAGATCTGACAATACCCAAAACTTAACTTAATTTCAGCTGAAATAGGGAGCTCATAATTGACTTATTCAACTTAGATTATATAATAATGTTGGATGACTTGAACGTCGAGACTAAATTATAACATTAAGTAAATAAATAAAGACTTCGTCGTTAAATAAAACGCTAGTAACTGTTTAAAATCTATACTAATCTATAAAGCTGAAGAGTTTGTTTGTTTGGACACGCTTATTTCAGGCACTACTTGTTCGAATTGAAAAATTATTTTTCTGTTGATTGTAATATTTATCGAGGAAGGTTATTAAACATCACGCTGTGTCTAATAGGAGCGAAGAAGCCGCGTTAGATGTAGAAAACCGGGTAAATTTATTCATCTTTGTGAGTTGCCGACGCGTACGCTGAGAAAACGGTTCAAGATACCCAAAAAATAAGAAGAAAGGACGATCTCATTTAATTGATATAAAAAAGGTTCGCGACACACTAAAGATCTCGACAGACATCGTGGGTTACAGGGTAAATTTTTAAAGAATTTCGGAGGTTCGCTAAAACAAATTTGGATACAAAAAATAACTATTCAACGCGGATGAAGTCGCTGACACCAGTATCACCCGAAACGTAGGTTGGGTAATGGTCTATCAATCAATCAATAATCTTTCGAGATTTATGTGATGTGTACGACTCGCGTTAACTATTATTAGATAAAAATAGTAAAGTAGATTAAGAGATATTAGTGTAACGAGAAATGGTGCAAAACTTGAATTCGAACTCCCGATCTTGAAAAAAAGAATGTATACCTATAAATAACACCGTTACTGTTTTATAAATAAGGTATACAGATGTAGGATAGGAATAGGTTGTGACATAAATAATTCAACAAAATTCACCAGCAACAATAGACAATTGAAAAAAACGAATAAAATGTGTAAATCACTGACCATTAATTCGAAGGTCTAGTACATAAAGGCGAAGTTATAACAGATTGGTATTCCTTTAGGAAAATTGATTTATTTGGAGTACAAGTACGTACCATATTATTATTAACTATATAACCATGTAACTTCTTGATAATATGGTATATTGGCCTTTAGTAGATTACATTCGATACATTTTCGAATTTAAACTCCAAAATGAAAATATCGATCTATTAATTAAAAAATGTAGAATAAATATAAATTATTCTATATCGGTATAATTATATGATTATAGTTTTCATCGTTTCGGAATTCATTTCAAATTTAAAAACTATGTAGGTTTTATCTAAATTTGTTCCGTGTAAAAAATTGGAAGAAATATAAATAAACAAATAAGTTTCTTTCGAAATACAAAATCAAAAACAAAAATTGACACGCTTATAAAACTCGACATGTAAAAACTATTTTCTAATGTCTACACCTATTAATAAAATAAAACAAAGTTGCCCGTTAAAATCGTAAATAGCGTTGAAAAAAAATTTCGTATTAATTGAATAATTTAAAAAAGAACGCTTTTTTTTAGACAATAGATAGGCAGACATAAAATCAATGTCCCTACACAGTACTTAATATTCTTCGATGTTTGGACGCAATAACTGTGCCACTGAATACCTTTTTGCGCGGGCGCAGTCCAAGGCTGCCACAAAGGCACGTTAAACTTAGGCGAACCTGGCTCCATTGGCAGACTCAACGAGGTCCGAGTGAGGTACAAGAGGTAGGACAATTCCATCATCACAACACATCAGCGCATTATACGAAATGCAAATCCAACGCGATATAGAGAAATGCTAAGTCCCGATAGACAACGCTTTGGCGTCCCCGCACAGGTAACACTGAAGGTCGACTGAATAAAAAACGAGCTGCAAGAGATTACATAGGAATAAATAAATGAGATGAACAAAAAATAAACCGAAAAGGAAAAAGAGCATGCTACATCCACGCGGCCGGACGTTGCGGCGCTTCCTTCGAAACAGAACTACAGGGTGTGCTAAAATGACACGAGCGCAAGTTTAAGTACCGGTCTTTAATTTAGTTTAACTGCAAGGTATTATTTACGGACTCGTTGGTCTAATAATAGAAATGGGTTATAATCAACGGATTAAGGGTTCGATGCCATTTGATCGCCGAGACCAATGTTTTTAATTAATTTACTATTCGAACATTGGACTTCATAATTTAAAATTCGAAAATAAATTGAAAAAATTTTCGACTCAGGCAGAACTTGAATCGGCATCGTCAGCGTTCCGTGCCTTCATGTGCAATACCATATATAAAAAAAATAAAGTTTTCAAATGTTGAACTTCGTCTGGAAATCTGGATGTATAATGTGCGGTAGGATTATCGAAATTCCGTCTACGTCGAATTCCACCATTAATCGCGTTTTGTTTCTACTGATTTCCGAAAATATTTCAAAATGGGACGACATAATAATATAGTGTAAAATGGAGTTCAAATTGATTTTTTTAATGCTTTATGTAATGTGTTTACAGACGAGGGCTTACAGAAAAATTGCCTGAATTTTTACTTATGTCTTGTTCTGTGTTTTATATGTTAATTTAATGTTTATTAAATGAAAATCACATTCAGTGTTTCACCTTAAAACAAACAGTTTTAAGGTAAAACACTCTAGTAACTTTACAATGTTAAAGATTTATATTTATTGTTTGTGACACATGAGCTTATATAACTATTATTATAAGAGTATAAATTCTATCTAATGATAATAAATAAAAATATATATGGCATCTTTAAATTTATGTGGAGCACAATTGGCCTACAGACCATAAAAGATAACCCACACTGACAGACATGTACGAATTGAATGTGCATTGTTAACAATACACGGAAAGTGACAAAGAGATTACGATCTTATATTAGCTCTTGAATGGACAAAGAGATCGATAATTCAAGGCGATTTCATAATTGGGCAGTGCGAAGTTACATTTGTATGTCAGCAAGTCGTTCAAGGAATCTATACTAATAATATAAAGCTGCAGAGTTCTAATTAAAAAATATGTTTGTATTAATTAGAAAATTTATCGAGGAAGGATTTAGGCTATAAAAATTATCACTGCGACCTAGATAAGCGAAGAAACATATAAAGCTTTAAGGGGTAACGCACAGTAATAATTTTTTTTTTGCAATACTTCATATGTCAAACACCCTTCGCCAAGTCAGACGATGCCTAAAATAACTATTCTATCCATCGCTTGCACAGCTGGTCTAATATAAAAAGTTATCACAACAACAATATAATTCTATCCTGTTTTTAGGAACAGCCTATATATGGAAATCATCAACCTGTTCGCTCCATTCATGAAAGTGCGTGAGCGCAGGGCGCGGGGATTAATGAACCCTCTCTTCACGTCTCCCTTCCTTTGGCAATAGAGCCTTAGTTTATTAGGTTGGAATAACTCTCAACTTTATCCCGAAGATATAAGGTGCATTTTCGATTGTAAAGTATAGTATAGACATCACGATAGCGTCGTTGAATGAATACTCTAAGATTTATTGGAATAAGGGTTAGATTTGTATGCATTTCTTTCACTAATGATGGAGTTCGAAATTACGGTGGTTGTATCCTTGAAAGGTTATGTTTTATTTTGATGCGGTAGTAGACAGGTTTTGGAGGGAGGGGGGAACTGTGAGAAGCCGCGTTCTAGAGCACCGTATAAGCATTAGCTTTTTATTATTGTCTATTAGAGTTAACCCAAAGTCTGCCGACAGGTAAGCCGACTGGTGGCGCCGCCATTGGGAGGCTATTCAATAAGATCTTATTTAATGATTTACAGGTTCTAGGAAACATATGAGTACACAGTAATAATTACGTGATAGAAGGAGTAGAGATAAATTGTTTTAACATTCTTTGTACTACTTTGTTTTTAGTTTAATTTAAAGTTTTTCTTACCTAGGTTAAGAAAATTTGTCGATACAAAATATATTAACACAATTAAGGTAGAGAAAATTAATAACAAAAATATATCCACGCATAACAATTATTACACAATAAATATAAATAAAACACTTTAACGGTTTAAAACGTGATATATTTTAGTTAAACTTGTTTGATAACTACGGCCAATAATAAAATACAAATCTACTGCCATACTGTACATACAATAATATATTATATACTGCCGAATTGGAACTTAGGAAGAAATAAGAGAACAGACTAAGAAAGCAGTCCTGAAACTTGCGTAAACTAAAAACAATTATGGGCCTTATGGGACAAAAAGAGTTTTAACTATTACTTACTACTTTAAATAATTTAAAACATACGAGATTTTTTAACGATTTCGTATTTCAGTACGTACGTTAAGGGAAAATTGAATATAGGGATTTAAAACCGCCCGTCGAGTTTAATTAACGTGTGTGGTGTTTTATTCCTTTTGATCCTACCCTCTTATTTGTTCCGCCGCTCATTCAAGCCTGTGGCGCTCCGCTACCTGCCCTACACATCGTCTATCAAGTGTCAAATGAAATTACAGGAGAGAATTCGACTGCCTAAGGCTCGAAAGGGGCTCGGCCCAGTTGTAAATAAAAAAATATTTTGGATTTCGATTTGCAATAAATCGAACTACGAATAGACTGGGCCCTTTCAAAAGCAAACTGCATATACTCTCATTAAACCCAGTTTAATAAAACTGAGTCTTGATTGAATAGGTTTTAATGTGTTTATTATCCTCGCACTATATCTTTTTAAATCCTGTTCAAAAATGAGCGTTCGATTTTTTATATCTTAAGTAAATTTTCGCTTTACTTGAACTAAACACATTTTAGTCCCATGATTTTTTTGTACATGTATACATTCATACTAATTAAATCATACAACTAACATACCTTTTAATTTAATAAGAAATAAAGATTTGTTAAATTTAAGATCGATTTAAGATTGAAAAAAAAAAACGACACGAGCAAGACTTGAACCGGCATCCACAGCGTTCAGTGGTGTCATCCGAAGACGTGTTGCAATTTTTTTTAAATATAGGTATCAAAATCGATTTGTAATTTATATTGTGCCATCATGTGCAAAACCATGCGAAAAATAATAAAGTTAAATTATTTCTGATTGCTTTTTGATTTACGTAATAACGTGTATTTCCTCGAATTTCCAAGCGAAAGGATGTGTGTAATTCAGTAGAGAATGCGCATGCGCATTGCCAACTGCTCGCTCCCTAAATGTACCTTCAGGGACTGTTTATTTGCACGCATATCGATTATGCTCCCGGGAGCCTGGTGGAAATTGCAATTTTATGGTAGCACTCGCTATTGGGGGGATGTCCGGTTTTATTGAATACATTATGTAAATTCAAAGAACGAATGCGTTATGCTTCATTTATGGTTTGAAAAGCGTAAGTGAAAATCGGTTTGTCTACTTGTTTTTGAAATATGGAGGAGTACAGCTTTACGTTTACTCAATGGGAGGTGAATACCCCATATATCATCTATCAAAATCTAGGTTTTGGAAATTCGAAAATCAACAGACTGATGACAGCGGTGAGCGGTAGTTCGTGACCCGGACGGAATTTAGATATGCCTTCTAACCCTTTTAACATCCAGAAATACAGACGAAGTCCAACTTGTTTCAGGAAAATTATAAATTGAAAATTTGGAAAAATGTTGGGTGGTGGAGGTTGGACGTTTTGTCTAAATAACGAAAAAAGAATGACATAAGTGTAATTAATGTAATTATGTAGCTCTTCTGATTATTTCTAGATGTTAGATAAATAAAAATCGAAGAACACTAAGCGGCAAAAACGAGCCTTTTTGTTTGACAGTCAATTTGAATATTAATGAATACAAATTCGAGATTGCGTGAAGCCAGTAGCGGCGTCCGTGGCCGCAGGCTGCACGCTAAACGAAAAATATAAATTATCTCCACAGCTCAGCAGTTGCCCCTATTTAATATACTAGCTGTACCAGCGACTTCGTCCGCGTAGAATAGTTATTTTGGGCATCAAACATTCTTGCAAACCTCCTCATCTCTATTAATTATAGCTGTTACGTCGGTCGCGTTCCGTCGTTCAAGGTACCTTACATGTTACAAGATAGACATTTGTCGCGGACATTTTTTAGATAATTTAAAGAGGAATCACTAGAGAATTTTTCAGAAATATGTTGGACTTCATGTAGAAAATCTGGATTTATATATTGGTAGGTATATCGAAGTTCTAATCAAAAAGCCGTGACTGGCGTTTCAATTACAGTCTGTGGAGATATCCAGTCAAGATATGTTGATAGCACATTTTCTCATTAGCACACCTTCCATCAAGTGAACTCATGTAACCTTTTTTCTACTGATGGTGTGAATGCTTAATGCACGCCCACTTCGGGCAATAGTGCCGTGAGGAGTGTGGTAAATCGTATAGCCGACCAGAACCACTAAACACACCACCAGCCTCTACGGTGCTTTGAGGAAGCTCTGGGAACACGTTTGTACAACTCCAAAGCTCCCAGCACCAGAGCTCATGTAACCTAGATTGTCATAAAAATCTATGTATAACCTTGCACTCTTCACATTCACGTTTACAAAAATAGCATATGGAAAATAACTGTTAAATAAAACACCTTAACGGTTTAAAACGCGATATATATTAGTTAAACTTGTTTGAACATTATTTTAACTACGGCCCGTTGTTTCGGATGAGTTGCAGCGGCCGTGGTCACAGTGAGACCAACATATATCGCGTTTTAAACCGTTAAAGTGTATTATTTAAAATAACTGTTCAA